TGGGCTTGGTGGTGTGGGCTTGAGCTCGGTTAATTCGCTCATTTTTTTCCCTACAGGCCTCGTGCTCAACTCGAGGCTCATTAGAAGCATCATTTTCTCCAACATTATTTCTATCAAGAGCACTATATAAAGATTTTGGTGAAGCATCAAATGGCTCTGTTTCCAATGTACTTGCAATGGATTCCGAAAGAATTGTTGAATTTTTATCCTCATGAAACTCTGGTTGTACTTCTTTCTATGATTTCGTGAGTGTGGCTTCTTCTGAAACTATTGCAGGTACACCAATTGTGTATTGATCCTCAGCTAATGCAATTGAGGCCTCATTCTCAACTCGAGGCTTATTAGAAACACCATTTTCTCCAACATTAGGTCTGTCATGAGCACCATCTAAAGATTTTGGTGAAGCATCAAGGGGCTTTGTTACCAATACAATTGAAATGGATTCCAAAATAATTGCTGAATTTTTATCTTTGTGAAACTCTACTGGTACTTCTTTCACCGATTTTAAACTACTACAGGTACATCAAAGTTATGTTCTGAACCTATTCCGTCAGCTCACAGCTGTAACATGAGACGTGGCAAATGGATTTTCTGTCAAGAGTTTTGGACTCTCATCTGAGCCATCAAAAGCATCATATAAAGGAGCTGGTTTAAAAACATCGACCAGTGGCCCCTCCCGAGTGTTAGATTCCACTTCTCCATTAGCATCTTGCCATCTTGGTTTGTTGGAGAAGCATTAGGTGATTGATCCTTGTCTGGATAGGATAATATTGGTCCAAAAGAAGATTCAGGAGGACCATGTTCTTTGAAATCTTTAGCGTCCTCCATTATCGTAAAATTCTAAGGAACTCCAAGTTCGTACCTGGGATTCAATAAAGATAGAAGATAAAAAGAATTAAGGAAAAGTATTCAATTCATGAATTTTGAAATGCTTAATCATTATTTATCAAAGATTAACACAGGGATTATCATTCCTAATCATTCATAACAATAATCAAAATAAATTTTGACGATGAAAAGAAATAATCATGCATGAGAGGAAAAACCAAAGGAAGAGAAAGAGAGGAGCGTACCAAAAATGAGCAGAAGTCAAATGAGAAGCTAAAAATTGCTTATCGGATAATTAGCCAAAAAGAATTACTAGTGACTACTAATCCCTAACACCCAACCTACGATATCCATTCTCAGTTCAAAAACAGTAAGAAAGGATTAATCAAGAAATATAAATATAAATATACACTAGTGCACGTGTGTAGTTTGAATCGCCAACCGTTGTGATTTTCATTGCAAGGAAAGAGATTTGATCCCAAGTCGAAAGCACCAACTTTCAATATAGAGTTTATATAAACTTGAATTCTCTACTTCATCGACTATCTTTTGAGGTATGCTTTTTTCAAGATCTATAACAATAATAAAGTAGACACCATGTCTTTTAGCTACAATCAAACAATGAGGATGA